TGGTATATACTTGGGGCCCAAAGGGGTTCCCATATACCTACTTTAAGGCCCAAGTATATCCCATATACCTACATGGACCCTTTGGGAATTACGATATCCATGACGACGGGACATTTCTTTCGGACAGACACGCCAGCGGCTTTGCGCGTCAAAACGCGGAGGGCTTACAGTCCTCCTTAAGTTTTAGGATTGAGGGTTTAGGATTAAGGGTTTAGGGTTTAGGGTTTAGGACTAAGGGTTTAGGGTTTAGGCTTATAGTCCTCCTTAAGTAGATAGAATATGGGGTATATGGGGATCTTATCATGATATACCCAAATTTAGCCATATTCTATCTACTTAAGGGGGACTGTACCTATAGGAAACGAAGTCCGAGTAGATTGTGGGACGGTTTCTGGTACTGTTACCGGCAAAGGTGTTGAGGCAATTATGAGGCACGGTGAATCGTGGCATGGGCGTTGGAAACAGTTGCCTGCTCTTACACTAGCCTGTCTGTGAGCAATGGGGTGGTTTGATGAGTAAAAATGCTCAGAGACTCAGTGGGCAGCTCTCCCAATAATACCTCCCCGGCACTGCCAAAATAATTGGCCTAGTCCAGGCCCTCTGTGATGTCATCTCCGAAAAAAGCATGGAGCATGGAATGCCTGCGTGATGCAAATCGTGCAGTCCGGGACGCAATTAATTTGCAGTGAAAACTTTGCATGTGGGCCAATGTGCAAGCACGCAGAAGAAGACGAATTATGATTTGCCACGTGGAACAAAAGCATGATGTCCGAACCTTGGAAATCTCATGTTGTTGGCGTTTCCCAAAGCAATCGGCAAACCGGTGCAAATATGACGTTGAGGTTGCACATTCAGGCATGCATGGATGCATGGACCGCGGACGTTTCAATGGGGCGGTTATGTGATGCATATGATGGCGCAAGCAGCACGAAGAAATGTTCAGCCTGCTAGCAATAACGCTCAACATTGAACGTCAAAGCCCATGTGGCTGTTGCGCGTTTTTCATGATCGTGTCCGCAATGCATTTTTGCGTAATTAATACCCGTTATTGTTTTCGCCAAGCAGTGCACCGCTTTGCTGCCACTTCAAATCAGGTACTTTTCGCCCGAAAATCAGATGCTGAGCACAAGTGAGCCGCGTGAAGCACGCAGGGGCGGAACGAAAGGTCTGCCAACGTGTGCCCAATTTCCGACTACACACTGTTGATGGCCGATGGCATGATGTCTGCAACGTTCCTGCTTTGGCTGCTGGGGGGGCTGTCCAAGCGCACCGGCAAACTGCGGTTTCTTGTAATCGGCCACGCGGTACGGGAACACAATGGGAGTTGGGTGCAGTTGAGCTGGTTGGCCAATAGGTGCCAGAAGGCTGCAGTTTTGGTAGCTCAAGCGCTGCGCCACCCAATTCTGCTGGCAGACATCGTGGTCGTGGTTGGGGCTAGTGTTGCTGTTGGTGCTGGCGCTGGTGCTGGCGCTGGTGCTGTTACTGCTGCGGCTACTGCTGCTGTCGTCGCTGCTGTCGCGGCGGCTGTCGCTGCCGCCCGATACCGCTGCCGCTGCCGCTGCTGCT